AACTGTGTCTCGTCAGAAACTTGATCAGGATAGCATTTTTTAAAAGAGCTATATTTTATGGAAATAGTTAGCAAATAGTGCTCAACTTTCTCTCGGTGTACATATTTGATGACCATTATGATATAACTATTTATAGAAATGGATATGCATAATTATGAATATAAAAAACCAATCTGGTGTACCATACAAAACAGACTCCCATGAAATGGCTGATAACTGCATATACCGTATAAAATTAATAAATCATATAAAATATCTCAGGTGCTGATGATAACAGTGCTACTTGCTATGATGTTATTGTTTCAAGTTAACAAAATAACATTAAATAAACTTCCATAACAAAGACGTTTAAATAAATAATAGATAATTGACAATACATATTTTTGTCAAGTGAAAATAAATAGCTACATGTTACATATTTTGTGTCATTAATAATCTCAGTGGCAAAACATTAAATAATTTAAAGTTTTTTAATTTAAAAAGAAAGAAGAAGTAAATTTCACAGATCAGTTATGCATAAAGCACACAAAATATGACTACCAAGTTGAAGCCTTGTGCTTGACACAAATCAAATGTTTAAATTATAATTATTTATCTGCTTTGAATTTCAAAATCAAAGTTTCAATGAATTTTCAGGCATATTTACAATTATTCTTGAGACGTTTACGAATAACAATTGAGCTCGGAGATAAATGACATGCATCAACAATAATATCTATGTTGTTGAATAACATAAAGAACTGAAAACAGATCACTATTGACTATGTAATGAGTATTTCAAAATGAAGTTCACTATTCAGATATTAAACATACATATACATGTATTATATTTGTACAAAATACTTTGTGAACTACAAACCCATACTAGAAACTGGTATTTACCAAAAGTATGACTTGAGCTACAGTTTTGTGAAAATATATATGAAGTGTAATTTGATGGGCACTGATGGGATTGAAATAACTTTAACTATTTTAAAGTTTAACAATCATGGCAGACCTGTCAACTCACAAATAAAGATTATGTGTAGATGGTTTGTTTAGGTTTCTCAATTCCAAAAAAAGGCATGGGTAGGTATAATCAACAAGAAGCAGCTTCATGCTTCTTGGAGACGCGAGATATGAGTATACTCTATACCAGTACACGTATAGTTGGGTATAGGACCCTGACAGACACACTGACCTTAAATCATGGCATGCCCTCTGTTATTTCTGCTTGCCATGGACCATAAGACCATCAGAAATACTAACAGGTGCTGTGGGTGTGTTCAGTAGCAGGCTTGTTTTCCCAAAGAGATGAAAGTGGTTGTTTTTGGCCCCCAAACCAGAAAAAAACCCGGATTACTTAAAAAGCATCCCCTTTGATTCAATAATTAATTCAACCACTTGCAACCTAAAATATTGTGTTATAATTTGTTTCTAACTTCATAAAGTTTAATAAATTGGAACACTGAACAATTTCCAACCCTTGATCAAAAGATTCTGGCAGCAAGGGACACAACTCTACACTGAGAAATATGTGAACTTCCATTTGCTAACAGGCGCATTGTGTTCAGTGTTGAGAGTATAATTAATCAGAAATTACACACTATTCAAAGAGTACACTATTGTGAGCTGAAGGGTCTGCTTATGATCCAAATGTGCTACAAATATAACAAGTACTTTGTAAGCTGATGGATCTGTCTTGTGATCTAAATGTACTACAGTGTTTTATGATTTAAATGTGCTTCAAATAAAACAAGTAGACTTTGAGCTGATGGATCTGTAATATGATCTAAATGTGCTACAAATAAAACAAGTAGACTGTGTGAGCTGAAGGATCTGTTATATGACCTACATGTGCTACAATTAAAAAAGTAGATTTTTTGAGTTGACAAGTAAGTTTTATGATCTAAATGTGCTACAAATATAACAAGTAGACTTTGAGCTGAAGGATCTTTTATAGGACCTACATGTGCTACAATTAAAACAAGTAGATTTTTTGAGTTGACAAGTAAGTTTTATGATCTAAATGTGCTACAAATAAAACAAGTAGACTTTGAGCTGAAGGATCTGTTATAGGACCTACATGTGCTACAATTAAAACAAGTAGATTTTTTGAGCTGACAAGTAAGTTTTATGATTTAAATGTGCTACAAATATAACAAGTAGACCTTGTGAGCTGACAGGTAAGTTTTATGATCTAAATGTGCTTCAACTATAACAAGTAGACCTTGTGAGCTGACAGGTAAGTTTTATGATCTAAATGTGCTTCAAATATAACAAGTAGACCTTGTGAGCTGACAGGTAAGTTTTATGATTTAAATGTGCTACAAATATAACAAGTAGACCTTGTGAGCTGACAGGTAAGTTTTATGATCTAAATGTGCTTCAAATATAACAAGTAGACCTTGTGAGCTGACAGGTAAGTTTTATGATTTAAATGTGCTACAAATATAACAAGTGTCCTTGGTTGGGTCCATTTGGATTAAATATGGTCAGTATAAGGTTGAAAATTTGCATTGAATATTAAACTGTAGGTTGTATTGGGCAGGATTGTCGATAACAAGTAGACTGATATCACATCAATATATAGATATCTTTAACAAACAGTATGTACTTGATGCAAAAGTAAGTAAAAATGAGCCATATATAAGAGCATTCATATACAATTGGTACATATAATTTTGTTATTTCTCCAGAGAACTATCACAACTGTTAAAATAAAGCTCTTTACACAGTCCAATAAACACATACTCGGGGAGTGAGTCTATATGTATCTCATAGTCTTTCATGATCGTATTGTTTTCATACAAGTGCATATACAATAATATATCTTAATTATATGAGCTGAATTCTTTTGAGCTAAACCTTTTTTTACTTCAGTCATTATTCCATAACAATACAAAACAAGATACCATTTTCCACCTATATACCAGAATACTTCAATTCATTTCAGTTCATAATATGTAAATGTCAATAAAATATTTGTGAACAAAATTGTCATGTGCAGTTCATTCAAAAATTAATCCACAACACTGCAAATATTCTGCTTCAGGGCCCTCCCTCTTGAGCTGAAGCATACATTGTCTAACTGGTGCATGCTTACTAGCAACTAAATGTGTCTTGTGATCATTAGTGCTGTGAGGTGGCATTCACAAAGCACAGCAGTGTCCTATGGTGCTTGTTAGGACAGATATGGTACTCCTTTGTCGAATTTTAACATCGCACATAAGAAAAAATAAAAGGTATAGACTGTTACAATGCAACATAGATGATGCAGTGACAGAAGGAACCTTCCAAACACAGACCTTGCTGCAAAAAACATTTAACTGCTATCCATATACACATAACATATGTTGTCAGGAAGTGAAGATCGTGACTAAAAATGAATTGATATACTCCTATTCAATACAAGTAGATGTGCATTTATTGTTTGAGCAGATAGACAATACAAAGTCATAAACATAGTCATGGTTCTGGTTGCCAGCTGTTAGCCTTGATTGTCATTTTTACTCCCCTACCACATCTTATACATGATCGTCACGCCAAAGACCCGGGTTCGATTGCCGACATGGGTACAGTGTGTGAAGCCCATTTCTGGTGTCCCCCTGCCGTGATATTGCTGGAATATTGCTAAAAGCGGCGTAAAACCATACTCACTCACTCACTCACTCTTATACATGAGATGAAACCTTTAGGTCACCTTTGAACTTAAGGGTTGGTTGGCCATTATGACCCCAGTACATTCTTCCTATGAGCTTTCTTCGTGTCAATTTATGAAAAAAGGTACCCAAAGATTGCTGACACGATTGCAGATTTTGTTGATAGTAGAGACTGGCCTCCCCTGGATAGCTAAAGTTATGGGGTACTTACCTTCGAATTCAAACAGACATAAGAAACACACCTGCCAAGTATAACACTAATAAACCTATCACTACATTATTCATTTCTTACTACTAGCTGAAAATTAAGCAAACAAACCTTCAAGATATGATTCATGAAATGATTACATGTTGACGAAAAGCTGTGTAGAATCCAATACAGTTCAAAGCTTTTCTGTGACATATCACTGATGTGTTCAGCAGCAGTGCTTAAGGAAATGTGAAACTAGACGTGAGATTTGTGGTGTGTGCAACCCCCCTTCATCCTGCGTCTTGCTATCTTGCTGTTCTTCAGTGCAAGAAAGCAATTCATTGGCCATAAATAAAAATGTTCACAAAATATTCTTGTAACACCAAATCCTTCATCCAACTTATGTCACTGACATCCCCCATAGATGGCAAGAATAAGCCGCTACACGCCCCTTTGTATATATACTACTCAAAAGAAGTTAAAGAACACCTCCAATTGGAAAGCTGTGTGTTGCAATACCTACCAGCCATGGCAGATTAACTATAGTCATATGGAAGAAATGAGTGCTCTTTAACTTCTTTTGAGTAATATGCAATCGGAAAAAAATATTCGCAATATTTGGAGATTTTGAACACGACCTTAAATACTTTGACTGATAAGGTTGCACTTACCCTCACTGGCTCATTTCCTCTGAGTGAGTGAGTGAGTTGGGTTTAACGCCGCTTTTAACAGTATTCCAGTTATATCACGGCGTGTCAGCTTAATGTGGGAGGAAAGCCCGAACTGATGCAGGTCTCAGACGTTTACCACTTCGGTGAAACCCACGAGCACGGGTATGGTGCTGACAAACCTAGAAACATAATCGGGGCGAACCGGGATTCGAACCCACAATCATAGGTTTCTGGCGTTCCCAAGGGACGCAACTCTGCACAGCGAATCGCGGCGCCTTAGACGACTGGGCCACCCGTGCCCCCCATTTCCTCTGAGAAACATATATCAACTGATAAAACCTTTGCAAAAAGCATTCAAAGCATAAAGCAAGCATACAGTAATATAATACACCATAATTGTTTCACAAAATCATGCACGTTTCACGATATCACCTTCCAAAGCCTCACATGCAAATATTACATAAATAAACAGATAAATAAGATACATAGACAAGTTGTTCACAAGTCTCTGAAAAACATTATGTGTAAATATTAGCAATACCACAGCAATATGTCCATGTGTAGAGTCAATAGATTAACAATACCACAGCAATATGTCCATGTGTAGAGTCAATAGATTAACAATACCACAGCAATATGTCCATGTGTAGAGTCAATAGATTAACAATACCACAGCAATATGTCCATGTGTAGAGTCAATAGATTAACAATACCACAGCAATATGTCCATGTGTAGAGTCAATAGATTAACAATACCACAGCAATATGTCCATGTGTAGAGTCAATAGATTAACAATACCACAGCAATATGTCCATGTGTAGAGTCAATAGATTAACAATACCACAGCAATATGTCCATGTGTAGAGTCAATAGATTAACAATACCACAGCAATATGTCCATGTGTAGAGTCAATAGATTAACAATACCACAGCAATATGTCCATGTGTAGAGTTAATAGATTAACAATACCACAGCAATATGTCCATGTGTAGAGTCAATAGATTAACAATACCACAGCAATATGTCCATGTGTAGAGTTAATAGATTAACAATACCACAGCAATATGTCCATGTGTAGAGTCAATAGATTAACAATACCACAGCAATATGTCCATGTGTAGAGTCAATAGATTAACAATACCACAATATGCCCTTGTGTGAAATAGGATCACTGCTATCACATTGAATGCTATAATGGAAGCCAAGCGTGGGATAAGTTTCAGGCTACAAATTGAAGGAAGCACGAAATATTAGCAAATGTTTTTTTCTGAAATGTCTTTGCATTGAAGAACTTGCACTACATGAAAATACAGGAGATATTGTTTATTTGTACAATATTCTTTCTTTATCATCAACATTTATATATATTTTCAAATAGTTATAAAACTTAGAAAACTTTCAAGACAATTTATTGTATAAGTGACGTGCATCTCTGTAAGAATGAAAAGATTCATCTATAATACTTTCTGAACACGACAAAAAATTTAACATATTTAAAAAACAAATACTTTTTCACATTGATGTCATATGATTGTTTATAACGCAATATCTATTAAACATTTAACAAAAACTTTGCAAAGCACAGTTACTTTCAGGGCATTTCAAATTCTCAAGAAGACACCTCCTTCTGATATCATTAGGTAATACATATTCATGTAAAACATATTTTGAAAACAAATTAAGGACAACATGACTTGATGTGAGTACTACCGGTATGTCTATTGGTATGTACTCCTTTGACTTGGACTAGACAGAGTAGGAATGTGAGAAAATGAAGCACATGTCTACGTGACATCACAACACTGCAACTAGGATGTTAACAGTAGCAATACACATCAGACATATTCACATTACACCACACGAGTCTTGGTTGGAACATCCTCGTCAGCATAGTACAATGAGCTCATCGACTTGCTCTTGTCGTCATCTCGGAGCAGGGCGGAGCTCTCGTTAGCACTCAGAGAGTCGGAGGAGTCGCATCGAGTGACAACATATGCCTGTGGTGATGCGGCGTCGAGCGGAGGAGGTGGTCTGCGTGTGGGTTGTGGGCTGGAGGCAGGGCTAAGAGAAGGCGAGCGGGAACGCACAATGCGAGCACCCTGCCGATATATACGTCCAGTGGGAGGGCGAGGATCGAGAGAAGGGTCGTCATGGGACTTTGACCGTGGCACAAAACGGGGACGACTTGTCTACAGAAAAGAACAGACAGAAGATAGCTGTAGCGGCATGTAGAACATGAGGCGGAGCTGAATGATACGCTGGTGGTGGTTTGTGGGTAGCTAACACGGGACATCCTCTTGTGTAGGCTTGGTGGTGCTGAGGTAAGTTTGTGTGCTGTGGCTTGTGGTTCCGTGATAGTGTTGTGAAAGGTTGTGAGATGTCAGGGTTGTGTGGAGTGGGGTTTTTTGGGTGTGGTGTGGGGTTCTGGTGTTGTGATAGTGTGGTGAAAGGTTCTGAGAAGTCAGGGTTGTGTGGAGTGAGGTTTGTGGGGTTGTGGTTTCGTGATAGTGTGGTGAGAGTTGTGAGAAGTCAGGGTTGTGTGGAGTGAGGTTTGTGGGATGTGCTGTGGGGTTGTGGTTTCGTGATAGTGTGGTGAAAGTTTGTGAGGAGTCAGGGTTGTGTGGAGTGGGGTTTGTTGGGTGTGGTGTGGGGTTCTGATGTTGTGATAGTGTGGTGAAAGGTTCTGAGAAGTCAGGGTTGTGTGGAGTGAGGTTTGTGGGGTTGTGGTTTCGTGATAGTGTGGTGAGAGTTGTGAGAAGTCAGGGTTGTGTGGAGTGAGGTTTGTGGGGTGTGCTGTGGGGTTGTGGTTTCGTGATAGTGTGGTGAAAGTTTGTGAGAAGTCAGGGTTGTGTGGAGTGGGGTTTGTTGGGTGTGGTGTGGGGTTCTGGTGTTGTGATAGTGTGGTGAAAGGTTCTGAGAAGTCAGGGTTGTGTGGAGTGGGGTTTGTTGGGTGTGCTGTGGGGTTCTTGTGTTGTGATATTGTGGTGAAAGGTTCTGAGAAGTCAGGGTTGTGTGGAGTGGGGTTTGTTGGGTGTGGTGTGGGGTTCTGGTGTTGTGATAGTGTGGTGAAAGGTTCTGAGAAGTCAGGGTTGTGTGGAGTGAGGTTTGTGGGGTTGTGGTTTCGTGATAGTGTGGTGAAAGGTTGTGAGAAGTCAGGGTTGTGTGGAATGGGGTTTGTTGGGTGTGCTGTGGGGTTCTGGTGTTGTGATAGTGTGGTGAAAGGTTCTGAGAAGTCAAGGTTGTGTGGAGTGAGGTTTGTGGGGTTGTGGTTTCGTGATAGTGTGGTGAAAGGTTGTGAGAAGTCAGGGTTGTGTGGAGTGGGGTTTGTTGCGTGTGCTGTGGGGTTCTGGTGTTGTGATAGTGTGGTGAAAGGTTCTGAGAAGTCAAGGTTGTGTGGAGTGAGGTTTGTGGGGTTGTGGTTTCGTGATAGTGTGGTGAAAGGTTGTGAGGAGTCAGGGTTGTGTGGAGTGAGGTTTGTTGGGTGTGCTGTGGGGTTGTGGTGTTGTGATAGTGTGGTGAAAGTTTGTGAGGAATAGTTAGTTGTATGGAGTGGGGTGTGGGCTGAGGGGTTCTAGTGTCAAGATAGTGTGGTGTGGTATGTGTGGTTTTGGGGTTGTGTGGATTGGGGTTGTGGTGTTGGGTTGTGTGTTGTGGTAATAGTGTGGTGTCGGGGTAGTGTGGTGTGGGGTTGTGTGTGGGATGTGTGGTTTTGAGGTTGTGTGGATTAGGGTTGTGGTGTTGGGTTGTGTGTTGTGGTAATAGTGTGGTGTCGGGGTAGTGTGGTGCCATTCTGCGAGGTTTTGGGTTTGGGGTGTTGGGGTTGTGTGTTGCGGGTTGTGGTAATAGTGAGGTGTCAATCTGCGTGGTTTTGGGATTGGTTGGTGTTGGTTGTGTGGTGTGGGGTTGTGTCTGGGATGTGTGGTTTTGGGGTTGTGTGGATTAGGGTTGTGGTGTTGGGTTGTGTGTTGTAGTAATAGTGAGGTGTCAATCTGCATGGTTTTAGCGATTGGTTGGTGTTGGTTGTGTGTTGTGGGGTTGTGTCTGGGATGTGTGGTTTTGGGGTTATGTGGATTAGGGTTGTGGTGTTTGGTTGTGTGTTGTGGTAATAGCAAGGTGTCAATCTGCGTGGTTTTGGGATTGGTTGGTGTTGGTTGTGTGGTGTGGGGTTGTGTCTGGGATGTGTGGTTTTGGGGTTGCGTGGATTAGGGTTGTGGTGTTGGGTTGTGTGTTGTGGTAATAGTGAGGTGTCAATCTGCGTGGTTTTGGGATTGGTTGCTGTTGGTGGTGTGGTGTGGTGTGGTGTGGTGTGGTGTGGTGTGGTGTTGTGTGGTGTGGGGTTGTGGTGACAGGATAGTTTGAGCGGTGGTGAATACTATCATGTGATAACAAAAAATGAAAAGGTTGGGTAAGCATTTTCACTAAAGGAAAAATAGATAAGATTTCAATAAATGTAAAGGTAAAACTAAATTAGCATATGAACAGACCTCTGTACATTTGAATTAAATACAAACTATTAACGTTCTGTTCAACAGTAACGATTTTTGCTATTTCATTTCTCCAACTCAAAAAAAACAAATACTCAAATTACGTAAAGGTATTCATATAATTTGATATTTAACAGAATGAAAGAAAAAATAATGGATAACGATATTGGGAAAATAATAAATTAACTGGTCATCTGTAAGGTGTACTACAGGGTAGTGTTTTAGTCTACAACAATATAACTGGGAGTGTCAGTACAAGACTATCAGTGTTATGTCCCAACACCAGCACTTATCACAAAGCTCTACATCAACAGCAAATAAAGATAGATAGAACTGGGTGGGTAACAAAGGTTAGCAGAAACAGTGCAAAGACATTGGAACATGCATGTTTACTATATCATGTGCGAAGCATTGCTTACTGGCCAAGCTAGCGAAAAACGGCAGTTTTCAAAATTTGAAAATGGGATTTCAACCTCTTTGCTAACCCACCACCAAATGTCATATAATATCAGCATCAACATATATCATGCAATTTCCTTCTCAATACATATATGGAATTAACTGTTTTTATTCTTCTGATATCATAAAAGGAAAGTTTATAGTGTATTGAGAAGGGAAGTGCATATCAAGATAGTATCAATCTCCCTGCACCCAGAAGCCACCACATCAATATGAAACCTACCTTTTCCAAAACAATCCACAAAGTGTCACATGACTGTCATGTGATTGCAAATTCCAGCTAATGTAGGCTTCATGAATCAACGTGAACCAGTCAAAATTAAAAACTGGTTAAATGTTACATGGAAAATGAATTCAGTGTCAGCCTAGCAGGTTAACACTGGCAGTTTTAAATAAAGGTGCACTCAATATGATAGAGCATGACTGCCATCTTGAAAATCAGTCATCTTACATGGAAGTGATACGTACATGTTAGGGCTGGGATGAGTCCAAATTAATCACCCGGGTACCTAACCCCCTATTACCCGACCCTACCCGGATACACACTGTAGGTCTCAAGAGAGAGGTACAAAATGTCCGATTGGGAAATGTTTGACCATACTCCTGTCAAAATGTATTTAGATACAGGTATAAAATTATCTGGTCATGCATACACCGAAGTTGACTGAAGTTTTATCCTTATGCAAACATATAAAAGTGAATTAAGTCAGAAGGAATGTGTGCATAGTCGGAAAGAAATGTGAACATTTTTCACTTACAGTGTAACCATAGAGTTCTAGATAATTTATGCCATTAAACAATTTAATCACGGGACTAACCACGGGTCAGGGTAGTCCTGTGGGTACCCGGGTCCTACTCAGTACCAACCCAAGTACCCGAGTACCCGAGTTACCCGTCCCAGCCCTCATACATGTGTACTGCAATGATTTCTTTGTATAAGAAGGGCTATTCAGCAAGGCCAATTGTTGTTCTTGTCTTTCTTAGAGAACATGCCAAGATGCAAGATGTAAAATTTAGAACAGAAAAATCTGGGTCCATCATGAAGGTTCATTGAGGCTCATTTCCTTACAAAACCTCTTGAAACAAGAAAAACAAAACAAAATCATTTGCAAGATAAATATACCCTTGTTTAAACACAGTATGGAAAATATTTCTTTTTGGTTTCAAACATTAGGTCTGGTTAATAGTGCAGGCTCAATCAATGAACAAGGAAACAATGTGCCTGATCTAATTAAAAGAAGTATTTTTCTGTAAACATGTATAACACACATCACCACTTGTATACTTTTCGTCCTTTATAAAGCAGGGATTGAATCTAGTAATAGTCTAGGAAAAGTAGACGTGTTAACTATTTCACAACGTGCTATCTAAGGGTCAATATGAAAGGAAAAAGGAACTGGATTTCTTCCTTCTAAAACTGACTGTCTCTATGGTGTAATGGATACAGCATCTGCCCAGAGAGTGGAAGGTTGGTGTTTCGATCCCCGGCTGTGTCTTACCACAAGACGTTAAAATATGGTACTTGTTGTTACCCTGTCTGGCACTCGGCATTAAGGGGCTAAAACAAGGACTGGTCGGCTCGGAGTCAGTATACTGTGTCTGAGTTGGGTATTCATGTTAAACTTTGGCATGGTGTGTTACCCTGCCTGGCACTCACCATTAAGGGGCTAAAACAAGGACTGGTCGGCTCGGAGTCAGTATACTGTGTCTGAGAGGGGTATCCATGTTAAACTTTGGCATGGTGTGTCAGTTGGCTAGCCCTATAAAACCTGAATTAATCTGGACTAATACAATGTACAAGCAGCCTAACACAGTGATTGCCCATCCTCAGTCCAGCATCATAACTGTACACCTGTGCATGGTGCCATTGTCTTAACCTACCTGTGTCTCACCCTACCTGTGTCTCACAAACAATGAGCAGCACTGTGGCAATCAAACAAGCTTACATTCTTTCAATTTTGGGGATATTGTCCTAGCAAAGGTGAGTGAATTAAAATTTACCGTCGCACTAGCATTATTTCAGCCACACAGTGACGAGTCCTAAAGTACTCATGGAAATGAAAAAAACCTGTTTTGCTGGATTTAATAATCGACACAAAGCATTACGTAGATGTAAATACGAAATAACAAAACAACTGGAAAAGTACTAGTCTGGATTTGCTAGTTTTATCTCAGTGCTTAATACAAAATGTACTTTACAGGAGGTAATTTGTATGCACTTTCAACATTCAAAAATAAAACTAAGT